GAAACAGAAAGTTGAATTGTAGGATCAGCTTATTATATTAATTAAGTAAAATATTAGTATGTACATAATCTGTATAATAGACAACTTTTTTATTCTTAACAATAAGAGGAGAAAACACTGGCATTGAGTCAATTTTTATTCTCCAAGGACCCACATTTTTTAAATTGCTAACTGAATTATTTTACAGAGAGAATAAAAACCTACTACTAGTATGTAGGTTGTATCAACATGTACTGTGCTTAAGGTTTTTCTGCTCCATATAAACTTGTTCTACAAGCCACATTCTAGGTGTCTTATATTATGCATGGTGGCTTATATTAGGCACACTTATAATCTGCATTCTCTAAGTGGCATATACTATTATTATCTCTGCAAACTACCTGTGGGCAACACAACCTTGTTTTAGTAATTGGTGTCTATCACTGTCAATGTGTATTCCTACCGAGGAATACAGTCTAAACAAAACCCAAGTTTTATAGAAATGTTTATATGGCATCTCCAGTAGTCATCTCAGATTTAACTTGGTTTAAAAATGTTAAAAATATTCTAAAAATTATTCTAATACGCTAGTCACTAGTAATATAAGGGCTCTCAGTCACATGTTAATAGGCAGGGGCAGTATTATATTTCAGCAGTTCTTTTCGCTACTTAGGTTTATTTCACAGCACCATTCTTTTTGAACAGCATTATTCCCATGTGGATCACATCACTGTATAGCTCTCAAGGTCACATTTTAAATATTATCACTGCAATACCCAGACAGTGACCATGTCCCGCAGTGGTATCTTTAGAGACAGTCCATTTTCCTTCCGTTCCCCTTTTATTGATTCCAGTTTACTCAGGCTCAAACTCTTCATCTTTGTACAGGCAAAAGTACGTATGAAGGAGTTTCAAATACTAACCATTTCGATTCTCGAATACGTATGCTACACACTACATGCTCCTCTACTTTATCCTCCACTTGGAGGTCAACCTGCTGGAGTAAGGTCGCAGTTACTATAACAACTAGTTACAAGCAACGAGACAAGAATAAAGAAGTAAAGTGGTGTGTGACTGCTGCCAGTTGTAAGGGTCTGTATCCGTCATCTGCGGCACAAATGCTCTTACGCCCTTTGAAACAAGAACCTAGTCTCACCAGAGACTGGTGAGTAAAAGAAAGTAATCATAACAAAAAAACCCAAACCTGCCACATAAACCCTGTAACAGTCTTACTCACAGAATTTGTTCCTTTATTTCTTAGGGAAGCAGATAAATAGCAGTTACCTCTCTTATTTGTTTACTTATTTCTCTCCAAGTAAACTCTAATAATGCAAAAATCCATGCATTTCTTTTCCTTCCCTAATACAATAAAATGAAAACTGTCCAGAGACATTTAAGAATGGGTGATTGAAACGTTTCCTGTAAACTCAGACATTGCTTTTAAGTTGATTTTTAATTTGTTGTTGCTGTAACTTGATACAAAGTCTCTTTTTGGTGTAATTACATCCCCTCACTTCAGGAACGGAGAAACAGACAAATGTAACTAATCTCTTCCCAGTTTTCTGGAAAAGAAACCTGGGAGAGGAAGCTTCAGTTTAAGGTATTCTGCTATTCTGTTTTCAACCAGCTCTATTATGTTTCTCATCCCTATAAGAGAAATGCAATAAAAAGCCCCAAAATTAAAGAGTGAGGAATAAGCTGCTGAAAAAAACCCCAGGGTTCTAACACCTCTGTGTATGAAACAGGAAACAGAAAATACTGTTACTTCATTAAGAAGTTTTTCTTATATTAACCCCATATTTCAATTAACACAGGCTATTCCTTACAGGTGAGTGTTTTTGAAAGTCTCAGGCAACATTTTTCACTCTAGTTAGCGAACGCCTGTTTTGTGCTTAACTGCTCAAACTGCTTTGCAAAAGGTAATCAAGAAACTGAAGTCTATTGTCAGTACAACTGTTTGCTATACCAGAATCCACAACTTCACTGAAAACTTGTCTGAGACCTGAAAAATCCAAAAGATTGAATGTTATTGCAAGGTTTAATCTCTTTTTAAAGTAGACATGAAACATTATCTAAAAAGTTACTTTCAGAATCTAATTAATTACCAACCATCCCTTTAAATTAAAGTTAGCAACCTTGCAGCTAACTTTTGCCTTCACCTGACTATGGGAACACTTAGGATAATCTCACAGAATTGGCAATTTGGCTGTGCAAAGTAATACACAAGGCTTTGAGAGATGGTTGTTTCTTAACACACCGAGTAGAACTTCATGTGACTGGCTATATATTTACTATTAATGCCTCTGTTACTTCAGAAGTGGAGCTGAAGTAACTCTGTCTACATTCATGAGTGCCTAAGGGAAACTCCCTGTTTGCACACTACAGATGGTTGATGAAGACACAATATTAACACTTTAATTTCAAACTTAAACCTTTTCTTTCAAATAAGATGCAGTAATTTTAAGGTGTTTTCATTAAGCTTAAATTTGTGTAACAGGCTAGTTACTGTGCTAAGGAAATCATCCACTGAAATGTGACCTAGACATTTAAGAATTTCTTGATTTCTATTATTGAGCAAGGAAACATGGTTACTCTTTTCTACAATGATTGAAAATCCTTTCTACTTTTCTTCACATCAAACATTCTCGGCATCATAATCCCTGATACTTTCTTGTCTTACAGATATTCTATTTGATTTGTAAAAGTCACTGTCTTTTTAGCATTTAAAGACAGCTATAAGTAATTTTTAACTTACATTTATATTAATCTAATTTCATTTTAACTAAAAAAAAAGTTAAAAAAAATTGCTGTAATTAATTATAATGAAAAAAAATTTCATTGGCAAGAATTCGCATAACTAAAGTGTAAACTGGCCTGTTCCCTACTGATTTTGATAAAAGTTATATAGCAAGGTAACTCTGAGTCTAAGGTGAGTATAAAACCAAAGTGCAATGTTCCCTGAAGAAAACTTAAACCAAAAAAATCTGCTGAAAATTCAAGAAGAATCCTATAATTTTAATCTAACACAGAAGATCCGCCTCATGTATTAGAAAAAATACACTTCAATAAAACAGTATTGTTCCTCACCACTACTCTAACCTAGCTAAATACAGATCAGAAAACAGCACTTTCTCCCCACAGCTCATAGAAAGGTCTCTCTTGAGATAAAATAAAACTGATACAGTGTCCTGTAAATGACAGATGTTGAATGAAATCTACATTGGTGGGTAAAACTATTTCAGGAAGCTTCTCACAATGCAGCATATTCAAATAAAACACACAAACACATTTTTGCCCTTATTTGACAATCTAAACTCCTGAGTATAAAAGTTACATAACTATTTCACTTACTTTGAAGAAATTGCACAGGCTGAACACATGTGTCTACTGAAAATACTACTTAAGAAAGAAGACTTGCATCTTCAGAACTGAAGGTATTTGTTAGCTCAGGAAGCTACCAACTTGAATACTGGCTGACATGCTCGCTTGTTAAGTGAGCAGATAGTATTAATACGTTGCATCCAACTGAAGAAAAAGGTTTCTGCATGAGAAAGCTGACATGCGTTCAACAAGTTTAAGATTTTCCTTGAAATTTAAAGCTGAGAAAAGTTCTGATCATAAAAGCAAAATTTCTGGAAGTATCTCTTTAGGATCACAGATTTGTGTCCAACAACAGTGCTCTGAAAATGTTATCTGAAGTACATACTTTAGAAATTCACTTACCAGAAATCAGCTTAGCATTGGCCTAACATTTTTTCCCCTATCAAAAGCAAAATCTTTGCAACAAAGATACAAGTTTAGCTCTTCCCCACCAAAACACCACTTAAACATTCTACAGAGAGTTAATATAAACACGTCTTCAGCAATTATTAGGCACTTTCTGAACTACAGCTCAAATCAGGTATTGTGAATAGGAGTCAGTGAGACTATTGGGTCTGCCTTTTGAGTGTTCATGTGATCAGGCTTTTAGATGTTGCTATTTTATTGTTCACATAACTAAAAAGTAAGTTTTAGCATTACAGTACCACCTGTTGTAAATGGGCTCAGAGAAACTAAAAAGTAATGCACCTGCCTCCAAACTGCTGAATGACATGACTGATGACTAGAAACAATATTTTTTTCAACAGTAAGAACGATGACTCTATAATTAGCAAAAACTCACAGTGGAATTCTTCCTTGGACCCACGTTATCATAAACTGCACTGTATGAATTCCACTGGCAATTGTGGCAACGTATGACCAAGCCAGTAGTTAGGCAGCTCACAACTTACATACACAATCCTAGCTCTTAGCAAAACATGTTTCCATGCGTAATTAAAAAAAACATAAATCTGAGCGTTTAGTAAAGTTTTGCAGGGGAGAGCACAAAAGATACATTGGCCAACACCAACCGATTTGATGGTTTCAGTTCAGTTCTTCAGTACAATGGTGTACAAATCACTAATTTTGAAGGATTTCCACATAATCAGCATGTTGTCCAAACTAAGACCGTTTACCATCCAGTTATGGATATTTAGCAGATATTTAAACGGTACCCTAAATAACAAGTTTAACCAGGGCAGTAGAGAGCGAGCGAGCTCCATCTTCCTTTTATAGTATCCGTGAGCAGGCAATGCTTCCCAGTTTCAACAGATGGTTGGACACGTGCGTGTGCACGTCCCAATTTACTTTTAAGCAAGTTACAAGCAGGCTTTAAAACCACCACCGAGACCCACAGGTACATATGTATCCTACGGGCCGGAGAGGACAGGCCAGGACGGAGCACTTTCCACGCTAGTGGGTCACGCTGTGGTGGAACCGCAGGTGCTCCTGCGTCCAACCTGTGTCCTTACAGAAATCCAAAACCGGGCACAACATCCCCCCTCTGCCCCTTCAGATATCCCTTCAGGATATCCGCCTGTCCCCGCGGGAGCGGCCGCAGGGAGCCGCCGGCCGCAGGACAAGTAGAAGGAGAAGGGCATGCGGCCGAGGGGCTCTCGGCCTCTTACCACGTACCATCTCGATGATCTTGGTCTTCTTACCCGTCTTCTTCTTCATGGTGAAGATGTACTGCGCCAGCACCACCCCGCCCACCAGCGCGCACACGCTGGCGCTCGCCATCGCTCCCATCTTGGCCACGGCGGTCCTGTCCATGGTAGTGGTTCCCGAGAGCCGCGGGGGGAAGCGCGTCCGCCCCGTCCGCGGATGAAGGAGCGGGATCCCAGCGCGTCCCCACAGACCGCCGGGTCGGCAACGACCGCGCCACACGCGCCGCGCCGCCCCGGCCCCGCGCCGGCCGTACCACACCACAGGGAAAGGGTGGAGGGAGGGGCGGGGAGAGGGGAAGAGGAGGCTGGAGCTGAGCCGCCTCGAGGGCGAGAGGTTCCTATCAGGGTCTTTGAAAAAAGGAAAAGCACAAGCTGTGGGGAGGTTAGTTTTTTTTTTTTTCCCTCCTTGCTCAGGAAACTCTAAAGGAATGCCTCTCTTCCTCCCTCTGCACCCCCCCCTCGCAGAGGAAGAAATGATAGAGCCCAACGGCCCGCGGCGCCGCTTCCCAAACTACACTTCCCAAGCTCCCTCCTGGGCGGGGCGCGGGGCGGAGCGCGGCTGGTGCCGGCCGTAGGGAGAGCAGGATGCCGGAGATGGCGGCGGCGGTGGAAATGCGGCTGTAGCGCTGCCGCTCTGTCTCTCTGTGCTTCGCCTCGGGCCGCGCCTGAGCGAGGAGCACCTGTGAGGAAGCGGGGCTGCCGCCCCGGGGCGGCTCGGACTGCGCTGTGCCTCCCGCCCAAGTAAGCCCCCGCCGGGCTCTGTCTCCCTTGTCCCGCTCCACTGGGATGTGTGTGTCCGGGGCTCGCGGCGGTGCCGTGGGTGCCGCACAGGGGCTCCGTGAGGGAGGGAAGGAGGGGTGTGTGGGGAGGGCTGTGCTGTGCCAGCCCGCACTCGGCGGCAGCAGGTTGCCTAGCGGGCATAGCGACGGGAGCCGCCCGAGGGAATAAAGAAGTGCTTTAATTTTCTGGACGTCGTATCCTTTAAAGAGGAAAGGCGCGGGCTTGCAAGGCTGCGTTTGCTCCGAATCCCGTCCTTTTTCCTCCTTCCCGCTGGAGCTGCTGCTGGCTGGATGCCCCTCGGCTCCTCTGCGGGCTGTGGGATCGAGTGCGTCCAGGTTCATGGACATGGGCTGTGAGTTTTGAACTAGGATAACGTTATTGTCAAGCCGCCTACAAAAGGATTAGTCTCCTCGCTCCCTCCCTCCCTCCCCCATTCTTAAAATAACAGCAGGTAGGGAGCAGAAAAGCTGATTTGTGCCCTGCGTGACCGAGTTCTTTAGTCGTGTCACTAGAGCATCTTCAAGGCGATTACCTGGTGGAGGTTTTGATGATGTCTGTTTATGCCTTCGTTTACTTTTCTAAAAATAAGTTCTCTTGCAGAAGACTTGCCTCATTTTTTTTTTTCCCGACACTCCTTGGTAACAGAGAACCTCAGTTCTGTGACTTTGAAAACTTCTTATTACTTAATGGTTGTAACAGAAGACTTTTCGCATTTTTTTAAAAAGCTGTTATTTTGTTGCATTTTCTTCGTGTAATTAGCAGATTCTGTCACAACTAATTTAACTAATGACAAGAAGGTTCCTAGGGTGGTTTCTTGAACTACACTGGAGTTAATGTATATTCAGCTCACACTAGTGCAGTGTGAAGCTAAGAGTTGTAATATACTTGATAAAAGCTGTTGCTAACAAAGGAGAAGTTGTTTGTATAAACAGTTGTGTATATATTAGTATACACTTTTGACAATGGTTTGTTTCCTTTTCAGTAAAGAAGAATGTCTTTGTTTAAAGCTAGAGACTGGTGGTCCACCGTACTTGGAGAAAAGGAAGAATTTGACCAAGGCTGCCTGTGTGTTGCTGATGTTGATAATAGTGGCAGTGGACAAGGTAAATTCAGAATTATGTGGTTGCTGACTTGTAAGCCATTCAGCTGCAAGATTGCTTTGACCTGAAAGCTTGTTAGCCAGGCTAGTTGGCTAGTTAAAGTCTGCTATCTTTAATGTGTCCTTGTAGGCTTAAGAAGACAAATTCAGTGCTCTCTGTCTTTTTATATTTGTACGTTTCTAAACATGTTAATCCTTGCTTGTGTTCACTAGTAATTTCTCTCATGTCTTATTCTCTCAGTGGTAGATATCTTTAAAATAAAACATTTTCAGTTAGTCATGGAAGCAAACATGTTCCAAGCTGTTGTAAAAACCGAAGGGAAAAAAAAAAGGAAGGTAAGAGCTAATAAGCTAAGAATTTAGAAAAACAAATAACCCTTTTAGTCTGGAAAATAAGTGACAATTGCAATAAGTGACTCTGCTTGAGTAAACCCTGCTTTTCTATGTAGTCATTAATAATGTGAAATGGTCTTTGCTGTCAGGGAAAGTTTTTTGTGTATATGGTTTTTAAATTAATAAATACACTCATGCTCACCTTGGAGCTCTGTTTTTGCTCAGTAAAGCTACTTGAGTTTATTTCATTACTACCATACTCTTCTAAAATTATTTTAATTATTTTAATTTTAGATTGTCCCTTTTCAGAAGAATTTGAATAAGGTTGAGCTGTTAGTTATTTGGTGTACAGCCTTTTTCAGTGGAAATTCATAGAGTCATTTAGGTTGCAGAAGATGTTTAACATCAAGTCCAACAGTTAGCACTCTGTGTTCACTATTAAACCATTTTGTTAAACACCATGTCTACATGTCTTTTAAATATGTCCAGGGATGGTAACTCAACCACTTCCCTTGTCCGTTTCTTCCAATGCTTTTGGTGAAGAAATTTTTCCTAGTATCCAATCTAAGTTGTACCTCCAGACCCTTTACCAGCTTTGTTGCCCTTCTCTGGTCATGCTCCAGCACCTCAGTGTCTTTCTTATGGTGAGCTGAACACAGTATTCAAGATGCAGCCTCACCAGTACTGAGTATGGAGGCACAATCACTGGCCTGGTCCTGCTCACCATACCATTTCTGATACGAGCCAGGATGCCATTGGCCTTATTGGCCACCTGGGCACAGCGTTGGCTCATGTTCAGCCGGCTGTTGACCAACATCTCCAGGACTTTTTCCCCTGGGATGTTTTCCAGCCACTCTGTCCCCAGCCTGTAGCACTGCATGGGGTTGTTGTGACCCAACATTTTGACATGTTGAACCTCCCACAATTGGCCTTTACCCATTGATTCAACCTGTCCAGATCCTGCTGTAGTGCCTTCCTACCCTCCAGCAGATAAACACTCCCACCTAGCTTCATGTTATCTGCCAGCTTATTGAGAGTGCACTTGGTCCGCTTGTCCGGATCATCGATAAAGATATTAAACAGGACTGGCCCCAGTACTGAGCCCTGCGGAACAGCACCTGTGATCGGTCACCATCTGGATTTAATTCCATTCACCACTGACCTCTGGGCTCAGCCATCCAGTGACTTTTTTACCCAGTGAACAGTGCACAAGTCCAAGCCACAAGCAGGCAGTTTCTCCAGGAGAATGCTGTAGGAAAAGGTGTCAAAGGCTTTACTAAAGTCTAGCTAAACAATATCCACAGTCTGTCCGTCATCCACTAAGCTGGTTGCCTTGCCATAGAAAGAGATCAGACAGGTCAAACAGAACCTGCCTCTCATAACCCATTGTTGGCTGGGCCTGATCCCCTGGTTGTCCTGTATGTGCTGTGTAATGGCACTCAAGATGATCTGCTCCACGACCTTTCCCGTTACTGAGGTAGGGCTGACAGGCTGGTAGTTCCCTGGATCCTCCTTCTGACCTTTCTTGTAGATGGATGTCACATTTGCTTATTTACAGACAGCTGTGACCTCTGCAGTTAGCCAGGACTGCTGATAAATGATAGAGGGTGACTTGGTGAGCACTTCCACCAGCTAGGTGGATCCCATCCGGCTCCATAGACCTTGGTGTGTCTAAGTAGTGTAGCAGAATGCTGACCATTTCCCTTTGGATTATGGGGGCCTCATTCTGCTCCCCGTTCCTGTCTTCCAGCTCAGGGTGCTGCATAACCAGAGAACAACTGTTCTTCTTCTATTAAAGACTGAAGCAAAGGGCACTAAGTGCATTAGCCCTTTGTCACTGTGTTCCTCCCTGTGTACAATAAAGGATGGAGATTCTCCTTGGCCCTCCTTTTGTTGCTAGTGTATTTATAGAAACATTTTTATTCTTTTATGACAGTAGCCAGATTAAGTTCTAGCTGGGCTTTGGCCTTTTTGATTTTTGTCCTGCATAACTTCAGGACATTCTCGTAGCCCTCCTGAGTGGGCTGCCCCTTCTTCTGAGTGTCATCATCTCCGCTTTTTTCCCTGAGTTCCAGCCAAAGGTCACTGTTCAACCAGGCTGGTGTTCTTCCCTGTAAGCTCATCTTTTGGCACACAGGGACAGCCTACTCCTATACCTTTTAAGATTCCCTTTGTGAAGAATGTCCAGCCTTCCTGGACTCCTTTACCATTCAGGACTGCCTTTCAAGGGACTCTCTCAACCAGTCTCCTAAATAGGCCAAAGTCTGCCCTCTGGGAGTCCAAGGTAGCAGTTCTGCTGAACCCCCTCCTTCCTTCTCTGAGAATTGAAAATACAATTTTGTAATTGCTGTGCCCAAGATGGCCTCCAACCATCACAGCACCTACAAATCCTTCTCTGTTCACAAACAAGTCTGGTGGGGCACCTTCCCTTGTTGGCTCTCTCACCAGCTGTTTCAGGCAGATATCTTCCACAAACTCCAGGAATCTCCTAGATGCTTTCCTCTGCTGTATTTCCAGCAGACATCTGTTAAGTCGAAGTCCCACATGACAACAAAGGCCAGTGATTGTGAGATTTCTCCCAACTGCTTATAGAATATTTTGTCTGTCTCCTCATCTTTGTTGGGTGGTTTATAACAGATTCCCACCATGAAAGGCCTTGCTGACCTTTTCCCTGATTCTTACCCATAAACACCCCCATCATCACCATCATTGAGCTCTAGACAATCAAAACACTCCCTACCATACAGGGCTACTCTACCACCTCTCTTTCCTTACCTATCCCTTCTGAAGCATTTATAGCTATCCACTGCAGCCCTGCAGTTGTATGGATCATCCCACAGAGTTACCATGATGTTTCTGTCATGGCAACTATGTCATTATTTTCTAGCTGCACAGCAGCTTCGAGCTCCTCCTGTTTGTTGTTCATACCGTGTGCACTGGTGTAGAATTGCGTTATTGACCCTGCCGCCTTTTTTTGTGAAGTCTTAATTCTCTTGCGACTGTTCTCAAGCATTTCTGTGGTTTCTAGCACGTTGATAACCCTTGAGCCTTTGCTGCCATGTAGATCTCCGTCCCCTGCCTCCTTTGAGATGGCAGATGAAAGGATCTCACTAGCACACCGTCCCTTAAACATTGGCATGACACCACCAGGCTTATCTCTAGCGATCCTGGCTTTCTCCCTTTCCTCCTTCAAATGCAGTTTAAAGCTCTCTAAACAAGACCTCTAACTCCTGAGCTAAGATCCTTTTTCCCCTCTAAGACAGATGTACACCATCTATCGTCCACTGGCTTGGTATCATTGTCAAACCCCCCAAAATTCTGCTGGAGTTCAAAATAGTCTTTTCCTAGAAGGAAAAAAATAATTATATAAAAGCAGGACTTAAAACAGTGTTGTGGGAATAAGAGTCTGCTGGTTTATTAACTTCCTCAACATTACATTTTCTCTTTGTTGATTAGACTAGGCTCTTTTTCTTCCAGTGTTCAGGAACAAAAGTTAATCAATTGCTTAATGTCTAAAGCAGGTGAAAATGTCCTCACTTAAGTATTAATAAATTAATACATAGAATGGATTTAGTTTACTGCTGATGGAATCCTTGTTACTGAGTTCAGGAAAAGATGAGTGGGGAGGGCAGTCAGTATTTTCTGAATGAAGGACTTGGAGTGGGCAAGGTTTTTTTGTGGCTGAAGAAGAAAGGAAGCAACCAACTGTTCTGAGCTTTTAATGTGGGATCCTATGGAACTATGCAAAGACTTTAGAGTCTGGTCAACATGGTTTAGGGTTACTTGTAAGGCTCTCCTGACTTGTGGACAAGTTTTACTGGTTTTGATTTTGATCTGCATTGATATGATGACCTATATCTAGAGGAAGTAAGTATTGACAACCAACTCGAGTTGTTGATTGTTATCGCGAGAGACACCTCTGGGGTTTTTTTCATTAATAGTTTTTTGTTATTCCGCTAACAACCAATGACCACTTAAAATACCAATTCCAAAAAACCTCTAAGGAAACCATTTCCTTCATCTTTGAGATAATGGATCTGCCTCAAGAGCAGGTAATCTCAAGGCCTAGCTTTGTTGACTTTGCGCAGTATTTATCAGGCTTTAGTTTGCATTTGGATAAATGCCGTCGATCCCAGTTTTAAAACTCCACACTTCTGCTGGTGTGATATGTGTGCACAAATCTAAGATGTATAAACTGAAAGTTTGAAGTACTTTTCAAAATGAATGAGGGTGTTTAAGAATTGTGGACATCAATCTAAAATGATGGAATAGTAACAATGGTCAGTGCCACCACCACAATAATTGTTATATTGAATCCTTTGCTGACAAATTTTCATGAATCTGCAAAAGAGATAATTGCTTATCTTAACCTAAAAGACAAAGCATAATCAACATTAATTGAATCGTGTCAATTAATTGCAGAAGAAACACTTCTGCAGCAAACTGAATTCCACATGTGCTACTGTATTGCGTAGTATCCTTTGTGTTGGTTTTTTTGTTTGTTTGTTTTTTAGATAAAGTTATTGTGGGCAGTTATATGGGATACCTCCGAATCTTTAATCCACATCCTGTGAAACCTGGAGATGAAGTACAGCCCGAAGACTTACTCTTGGAAGTGCAGTTGCGAGAACCAATATTGCAGGTGGAAGTGGGAAAATTTGTTTCGTAAGTAAATGGCTGGCTATTTTGGTTTTTTAAAGTTTTAGATGTGATTTTCTTCCTTTATTTTGGAGGGCAAGTTTCCAGTTTTCAGATGGACAACTATTAATCACATCTATGTGTCCTGTAGTATGCATTTGATCTGCTTCTTACATCATCTTGATATGAGAGAATTTTTACTTAAGGTATATATGAAGGATAATCTGCCAGATACTTGTACAATTTTTTAGGAGCATGTAGAACAGGAAAAGTTTTATATTGAAACTTATCTTTTAAAGTATTAAGAAAACTTGACTAACTTGTTATGATCTAAGATGTAATATTGGCCAGTTGTTTTCATTTTGATAGAGGACAGAGGACAGAAGATCTTTAATTCCGAAGAATTTAGTGGAAGTAGATGGCCAGGTAGAGGAAAGATACTATGGCTCTAAGGAAAAGACCTTACATTTATTTGGCTGTAAGGGAATCTACTTAGAAGAACATTATTTTAGAATTTAGTTCTTAAAGGATGCATTTTAATTTTGAAATTGACTTCTAATACTGCATCATGAACTTTATTTTAAAAATGAGAGAAAAACCTGTACTAAACATGGGAAAGACTCATGCTCTGAGACCAAAGGGCACAAGCTGGAAGGCCTCCATCCGTTGGAAATTGTTCTTTTATTCAAGTACTCATGGAGTGACCCTGTGTGGGAATTCCAATACCCTACTCTGTGAAATGAACTAAAACATTTTCTAGAGTTACAGCACGGGTACTTTCCCTGCTGGAAGTACTGCTTGGGTTCAGGAAAGAAATATGTGAGTGTTCAGATGTTCCATGCAGCTAGTACAAAAGTGAATTTTAAAAAAAGTAGTGTCTGTGGTTGCTGAATAAGACTTGTTTGGAGCGGTGATCCTCATATCATCCTTCCATGAAGGAATAACAGCACCTTGTTTGAAATGAGTTTCGAACTAAACTGGGTTGCTCTTGATATTTAAATCTGAAAATATGTCCCTAAAGGATTCATTTTGATTTTGAAATTAACTCAAAATACTTCAGCATGAATTTAGGTAGATCAGTACTTTTTTATGCTAACATCTAACACCCAAACCTTTGCATTTGGTCCACATATGAAAGCAATTTCAATATGTTACTTGAATTTTATCCTGTATAAATTTTACTTGGAATTGATCTAAAAATAGTGGTTTTTTACCCTTCTTTACAGTGGTACTGAAGGACTTCATCTGGCTGTGTTGCATTGCCGAAAACTCTGTGTATATGCTGTTTCAGGTTAGTTTACAGATCCAAGCTTTCCAGTGATTTTAAGTGTATTCTAAAGTTTGGATTAGGGTAATGGTAAACTTGGTATATGCAGTGTTTGCTCATCATCCCTGAATATCTGCAGTCATATTCTCTCATTCAAACTCATGTATGAAGAGGAAACATCAGTAATTAGGTCTAGATATTTCCCAGAGGTTAACAGAGGTTTGCTGATCTGCTCAGTGCCTGACATGCTGTGATGTCTGTGATAGTCTCTGGTTGGTAGTGACTGTAAACAACTAGTTCTCATTACAGTTTTAGGACTGGATGTTACTGTTGAACATACTAATGAACAAGTGGTTGTATAATGCCAACTTACTTAGCTCTTTAAAAATAAATAATTACAACTATTTCTGAAATCAAAACTCCAGGTAATTTCTTAAAAAGCCAGAACATTGGTAAGGTAGCCCATGAGAAGACAGAAGGTTAATACTAGTAAGAAGGTGAAACCACTATGTTTTTTCTTATATCCTCTTTCCTCTACTGCCTTTGGCTGGAAATTCTATATGATGTGTTCTCTCTGTGTGAAGAGGCAAGACACAAAATACCTATTCTGTACATTGATTTCTGTCTTCTATATGCTTAGAGCAAAGCACAGATTTAAGAGATCTATTAATTGTACACTCATCTTCCAAATTCAATAGGCAACATGGCATTGTTCATTTTCTCTGTGCAGGGACATCTATGGCTCCTCTGTCATTACAAGAGCATGATTTTCTTGTAGGAGCAGCTTGCTTCCTATTCACAGCCTTTTAGGCAAATACGTTACAAACACATGCTCTATTTTCAAATTCTGTTTGCCTATCTGGAGACACCTGTAAAAATGGTCTTTGTTGAGAGGTGCCTCTTCAAGATCTACTGCAGTTTTCATACTTTCCCTTCTCTGTAATAGTGCTTGTGTCTTAGGATTGTAGCCTACCAGTACAATTTTTATTAAAACAATTTTTTTTTGAAATTTGCATTCAAGGCATACAACAGCAAGTCTAGAATTCTTTTCTAGGTATAATTTGCTGTTCGGTCTGCATGGCTTAAGCAGTTAAGTAATAATAAAAGTAAAATTTTGCAATCCTTAATAGACTTTTCATACTAATCTGTAAATATGCATGCTTTAGTGGTAACTTCTGACATCTGAATGGATACTCTCAAACAAGCTCCTTTGAGAAATAACTATCATTATTTCTTTATGCTTCCATGGCAAATTACATTTTCATAAAGTGGAATCTTTACTTGCTTTATACGTGGTACCGTATCTGTTATTCATAATAAAATAACTCTGCTGCCTCTCCTTAACAAATGAAAGCATACTTCAGGGCTGACTGAAGGTTGGCCTGGATGTTTTATTAGAGGTAGAATACACAGACTGACAACTTTCTAACTTGTTTTTCATCAAGTGTTGCTGATTATGTAGTTACTACTCAGCCAAGGCTTTTCCCCCTCATGTCTATTCCAATCTTTTCCCTAACATGGGCCTGATTTAGGGGTAATTGTTTAAAAGCTATATTTGATTTTAGTTGGAGAAATTGCTTAAAAGGTTAGCATAAGCTACAAATTTTTCATAACATGTTGTTAAAGACAGTGTTGAGATAATCTTTGTATAGTAAAGCTGTGGTAGGATTTAGCTTATGTATCAAAACACCTTTTTCCCAGCTGATGTGACTATTGACAAAGGTTTGGTTTTTTTTTTCCTGCTTGCTAATATTAGTCTTTAAATATTACTTTATTCACAAGGTGAAAACTTTTGATTCTTAAAAGGTGAGTTTTAACTTTAGTTTCCTTACAAAGACTTTTTGAATTTCTTCTACTTCCCTGAAGGGGTCAGGAAGTTAAAATTCATGGAGACCTTTTCGGAGAATATGATGTATATCACAAAATTATTTTTGTTAGCATTTATTTGTCTTTTATCTTTGCATCATTGATCGCAACAGGGTGAGCCTCCACATCTCAAAGTCACTAGGATTAAGTTACAGTTTTTTCAGGTTGTTTACACTGGTACTCCTTTACTTCTTCCACAATGTGTGGATCAAAGTAATAAATATATACCCTTCATTTTTTTGTAGGAACTCTGGGAAATGTGGAACATGGGAACCAGTATCAGATTAAACTGATGTATGAGCACAATCTTCAGAGAACTGCTTGTAATATGACTTATGGTCCATTTGGTGGTGTAAAAGGTAAGGTCCTTGTTGTATATTCATTATCATTAGTTGTTTAACTACGAACTTAAAGTTTGAAAGGCGACATGATGCTGCTGTCTAGAGGAAAACCTCTTCTATGAATGGTGGTACCTTTTATCTGAAGGACATTGAAAATAATTGAAGTTAAAATGAGGCAAAGAATATTAAATGCAGAATAGTTGTTTTCTCACACTTTGAACTGGAGAGGAATTTTCAAGGCTAATATTGATTTTAAAAAACATGACAAAATTCCTGGCTCTTCCCTTGTGAAATACTTTAACATCTAAAAATAATTGTTTTCTTCTGTGCTTCAATTCTGTTTTGCTTTTCTGCACTTGCTTATCCTGGACAAGTTAAAAAGTTAACATCTTCATTTGCTGAACCTAAAATATCCAGTGTCTTGAAAGATATGTTATGCAGATTTCTAAAAAAATACTTAAACTTCTATTGGAAAAATGTAATGGTGGACAATAATATTTATGCTGTGTTTGTAGATTTCAGCGAGTTTAATAGATAACAGTCTTTTTTGAACTTGTGGATGTTTTTGTGTTCCAATGTGGAAGCATTTAGATTTGCTTTGCACAACATCTCTTTCTGTTCAGAAGTGAAGTTTGCCCAACAGTACTGGGGTGTGGCAGTCATCTACAAAAGTAGTGTCCCCAAATTGTTGGCAGAGTGATAGTCACTTTCCAAGGTAGAAAGTCTTCTGGGTCAATATGGCAGATATGTGCAGACAGTCCCTCAGTTTTATGGCTGTAATAACCTTCTAGTAATAATGCTACAATGCCTTACCCTAAGCTCACGCTTGTCCCTGGGCTTCAATTCAGCTGACCAAAATTTGTACTGCTTGAAAAGGTTTTCACTTACTAATTTCTTACAACCACCTCGGGGAAAATGGTCAACTCATGTGGGTGAGAAGGTACTAATGATATGAGTGTCTTGAGGAGTGAGTGTATAGGGCATATTCCTGTTAGCAGCAGAAAGACATTTTGGAGGTTCCTAAATTTGAGAAGAGGGAATAATGTGCTTTCTGGCATAGTGGAATTGCAGTAACAAATGTATAAGGGATCATAAACTAAGCATTGTGAGTGTCTGGAATGTTTCAGGAAAAATAAAACAAGTACCCTGCAGTTCTGCAGAATAAACTCTCTGGATTTTTGACATACATGTTTGTTTACCATGGAGGTCCAAATAGAGGTCCGACCACCAGCTCAGACCTGTCTCATGAGCTGTGGTGGATGCAAGTAATGTAACGAAGAAGGTGTATTTGCAAGCTAGGGAGACAGAAGGCACTGTTTACCTTAGAACCTACTTTGCCAGCCAAACACTTTTCAACACGTGGGATGGTCAAAATGAGGACCAATCCTGACAAAGCAGCAAGAACAGCAGAGGGAACTCTGGTAAGTTCTGCAGACTTTTCTTAGTTTTCTAGTAGCACTTCTGTGTTAGCATGTCAAGCAGCTTTCCTTTTCCTTTTTTCTTCCCCATGTTTGAGTTCACAAAAGTATGTTTATTGCTGTTGGAAAAAGAATGATCTCAAGTCATAAATGAACAAGGAAGGCAGAAATTTATATGATGTAATGAATAATACATCATATTGTAAAATCAAGATGCTTTCTGTTTAAGACATAAATCTAGGAAAATTATAGTGAATGTTCAGGTACTTGATAGAAGGCTATTAAGGCATGTATTGAAACATCAGAGAAATTGGCAAAATGGACTCTGGTGAAAGTTCTTTTTGAGAAACGAAAGAATATTCTTCTTATTCTGTAGATGTCCTGCACTGAATACTCTTTTTTATGTGGCTTTCCTGGACTGTTTGATTAGATTTCCTGTCAAGGATGTGCTTTTAATCTTGTGCAGTGAAACTATTTCAGGTTTTTTTAGTATCATCTTTAATATCGTGTTCTCTCCTTGAGGTTTAAGAGTGCCAGTATTGTGGGTTTATTTCCATCTTGCAAGACCATCCTGAGTGAACCAGAATGAAGTAGTTAATTTTAGTAAACAAATGCCTGTCCGGGTTTGGCCTGCCATGCTATCTATGTGTATCTATGTTTGGCAGATGTTCTGGGGTGCCACTGAGAGTCTGTAAATAAATTAGCATTTTTTTTTACTATCAGCCTTCTGCTAGCTTCCCTGGAATTCTTTTCAGGCATCTGCTAACAGTCTCTCTCACCTTCAGTGATGGTTAATTCATGATGGTGGCGGTGCTGTAAGCGTGCAGCAGTGAGCTTGCTTTGCTCACAGTCTAACTTCTACACCCCCTCTGGAAGCAGACTAACAAAATATTAGGGAGAATTTTTGGATTTATTGCCTGCTGTTACTGCTGTGACTAGTATGTGTCTCATTGCTATACTCAAGCATCCTTGAAATAACATGAAGGTGAAAAAGGCACTTCACAGGTCATATTTACAAAGCTACTGAAGCAGACACAGGAGAATGGCAGTTGAGCAAGAAGAAAGCATAAGTACAGGGAAAGCACACTGGGGGAGTGTTGGGGGGGAGGATGTGTGTTGGTCCCCCAGGAACATGATATTTTGTCTGAGGAAGCAAAGAATGCTGCAGGAGTTGACACAGAGCACTTGATCTATGAAGTTGCTCAGTCCTGCTCAGATTTCTCTTGATGAAGGTTATGCTTTTGGTCTTTTTTATGGAGCTTTTAATCCTATGTCTTCGGTGGTAAAGAAGCTCATTCTGCCCAGCCATATGAGTTAACACTGACAAAAGGAAAAAAGGATTGAGTTTGGAGTCCTGAGGTGTATGGGTCAGGTGAAGAGTTAAGTCAGGACCCTGAACTTTAGGAAACCAAATTTCCATCTCTTAAAGGGTTAAACTGCACATCTCTTTGGCTGAAATGTGATGGAGATGTAAAACATACAAAGTACAACTGTCACTTCTCAACTGTTGATTTTTAGTCTCTTGTATTAAGAAAAAAGCTCTTATAGATTTCTCTGTGGAGAGAATTGTGAAGTAAAGAAAGCTATTTTGTAGCCTAGTTGCTAAATTTCATTCTTGCTAGTGTCTTCAGATTAATGATTTGATTTATGAGCAATTTTCACATATGGAAGATTTGACACAGATGTTCTCATAACAGGAACAGATGAAGGAAATCAACAAACTCATTTATTTATTCTCATAATAGAAGGTCAAAACCTAAATTAAAGCTATTAAAACTATGGAATAAAAAAGCCAAAGACCGAAAAGTTGACCAGTGGCTTGCATAGATTAACAGTGTGCATTTTTCTTAAAACTAGCAGATTGTGAATTGTGGTTGTCGCCACTAGATGGTCCTCTTGTTACAGTTATTGGTTAGTAGGCTGCATCTCTAAAGCTGCATTTATCCTTGAACTGATTCTACAGATGTATTTACTGCAAGACTTAGAAGCACTTTCTGCAAACCTCTATAGCTAAAAGTGTTGATGGAAACAAAATGTATTCTGTTGGTTGTCGAACTTTAGCAAAAAGGAGAAATGAACTTGACCCTTACTTTCAGCACAACTCTTAAAAGGCCAGGGATGTGAGAAATAACGATGAAACCCTTATAAGTTTAGCTGGAATACTAAACAAAGCTAATGGAAATGTTTAAAAATAGTAAATGGAAAACACCTACAAAGATGAAATAAAAGTCAAGCATAGTGTAGGCAGGGCTAGTTGTGACTTACAACTTTAAAATCTGTGGCAAAGGAAAGGATTATAATGCAGAACTTTACATTTCTTTGCTGCTTTAGATTTATGTTTGTTCCTTGCCGTCTCTGAACACTAATGCTAAAATGTAAACAAAAAACTATCAAGAAGGGACATAGGAAGATCAACTATTCATTTTATATTTAAAAAAAAGTGTGTCGTTAGCCCAGACTTTCAAAAGTAGAACTTAACTTTTAAGACATTGCCTTTGTTGTTTAGAATGCGTGTCTCCTTTCCATATTTCTGAATCTTCCTCATGATCTTAGAGCTATAAGTTGAGTTTGTCATCCAAAACTCCAATTCTAGCATATGAGTTGTTTTAGAAACGATGATTCATGATAAAATTATGAGTCAGTAGTGCTGAACACTGTTTTTTAACCAAGTGAACTCTTAACCTAGCCACAACATATCACAGCCCTTAAGTAATGAACAGATTATAAACTTTATGTTTTACTTCAGATATAAAATTTAAAGAACTCGAGTGTACTCTACCTTAAGCTCTTTTAATTTTTTTTTTTAAGAAAATGAAGGTAAAAAACCATATATTTTTTCTGATTTATATTGTAGCCTTACCTATGGTGAGGACTCAACTCTATAAAGATTTTACTTTATATAAACCCATTTATCACATAATTTTTATGAGGTCAGGTTATACTATTATGGCATCATGCAATTATGCCACTAGAGGTTGCTGTGCTAACAATTCAGCTTTCATTATATGAAGTGATGTCTGCTGATAGAGTATCTTGGAAAGTATTTTCTGGTTTCACAGCTGTAGTATGTTGTTCTGGGTCTTTATGAGTCAAATACCAATGACTTGGTATTTGAGTCAAGCTCATTATTTAAGATGATGAGCTCATTAGAGAGCTTAAGTTTGGAGGCAGCCTGGGCTGTAGCAACCATGCCCTGGTTGTGATCTCAAGGTGTGTGGGCCTGGTGAGGCACCAAGTCAGGACCCTGAATTTTGGAAGAGTGAATTTCCAGATGTTTAAGGAGTTGGTGAATGAGATCCGCCAGGGGAACTGTCCTTGGGGACAAAGGAGCTGACCAGAGCTGGCAGCTCTTGAAGGACACTTTTCTTAGAGTGCAGGGCTCTCCATCCTAATCAAGCAAGGCTGGCTGGATACTAGCGTGGATGAGCAAGGATCTGCTCCTCAAACTGAGGAGTAAGAAAGAAATGCACAGCCAGTGGGAACAAGGACAGGTGACCTGGGGAGAGTACAGGAATATGGTTCAGATGTGTAGGGATGGGATCAAGAAAGTCAAAGCACTGATGGAGCAGGACTTGGCAAGGGATATAAAGAATTACAGAA